TCTTATAGTCTCCGAGGCGATTCGTAATAATTTCTGCGTACACGAATGTTTGTTGTCCGACCCATCCATTGATGCCGCTAAAATGATATCCACTCAGCTGACAGAAATGTTCCTCAAGCCAGGGTTCCATCTCAGAAAATGGGTAACCAACGCACCCGAGGCCATAGAGAACTTGTTTAGTGCCAAGCGCGCTGAGTCACCGGTAACGTTGTCTGGTTGCATCCCGGTCATGCTACCAACCAATATGACATACCAACAGGACCGCACACGAGACGCGGCATATTGTCATCTTTGTGTTCCCTTTTTGACCCACCTAGTGTTGTGGCTACACTTTGTATACCACCTAAGCAATTTCTACAAAGGCTGTGTCGAACCGGCTCTGAATGGCACCCAGGCTGGATGTCAAGGACAAGCTAGCCTTGTCACCGAACATGTCATTACTGTTAGAGGTGAACACAGGGATACCCTCTCACTGCAGCTATGCTGAAACGTTCATTAGAAAATGGAAACAGGTGAAATACCTGGCTGATGTGTCCTGGAAAAGGTGGATGAAGTAATACCTACCCACATTACAAGTCAGACATAAGTGGTTACTGAAGACTCGTAACTTGAAAGAAGGTGATGTAGTGATGGTGGTTAGTGTTTGGGTACAAACGGAAGAGTGACCGTTAGGCAACTTCACTTCATGTGAGGTTAGCTGAGATGGAATCGTGGGAACGGTTTCCGTCACAACAGCAACTGGAACTATACGCCGTGACATCAGACGCTTGTACCTGCTTCATGATGATGAGTAGAGTGTAGGCTTCTTGGGAAACTTGGTGTAAGGCATGGAAAAAATCTGAAGCCGAGAATTCCTGTGGAGGTCAGCGTTTCCTCCCACTTGGACCCGTCATAGCCAAGAGTCCTACTTGAACGAATTATCGTATTAGTTTGCCACGCATCGCTTGGAGAAATTTTGTGCCCATGTATCACACAAAACGCTTGAAAATTTATCCCACACATTCTCCGTGAACGCAATTGGATAAATTCAAATGTCCCGCCCAATCCTGCCTGCTATTCATTGATATTTTATTATTACCGCATCAACCCATCACTATCCCATCCATTAAAACATTGCGTTGCACAAACTATGAACAGGTTCCTGCTTCCTCAAATGAACCGCATTATCGTTTGTATAAATTCACAATTTTGGCACTATTCGAACTGGTATCTCACGCTTAATACTCCACTCCGTGTTCGTCGTTGGTCTAACCGTCGATCGATAACTATCAAGTTTTGTTGTACAATAATTGATTTATTGATGTTTTGCCATAGAGTACATCAGTTGAGTCCCGAGTTTCGTCCTCGGTGGAATTTACCTCATCACTCTGTCGTCAATCCGAAGAAGCCTGGAAGACTGAGGGCGGTGTTTGATTGTGCAGCGCAATCCAACAAGGAATCTGTAAATGACTACCTCTATCAAGGTCCATATTGGACAGCCAATCTGACAGCAATGGTCTTGCTTTTCCGCAAGGAGCGCGTAGCACTTTCGGCTAACATAGAAGAGACGCTAATGCAAGTCCGCGTTCCGGAAAACGATAGAGGTGCCCTTCGGTTCCTGTGGTGGCCGGGTAGCGATATTTCATTGGAGCCGGTGGAGTTCCAAATGAACTCGCACGTGTTTGGAGCGAACTATTCGCCATTCTGCGCCAACTTTGCTCTGCATCAAATTGTGGAGCTATTTGAAAATGACTATGCTCTTATAGTCTCCGAGGCGATTCGTAATAATTTCTGCGTACACGAATGTTTGTTGTCCGACCCATCCATTGATGCCGCTAAAATGATATCCACTCAGCTGACAGAAATGTTCCTGAAGCCAGGGTTCCATCTCAGAAAATGGGTAACCAACGCACCCGAGGCCATAGAGAACTTGTTTAGTGCCAAGCGCGCTGAGTCACCGGTAACGTTGTCTGGTTGCATCCCGGTCATGCTACCAACCCCTGGTATACGATGGGATACTTTACGAGACAATTTCTGTTTTCAATATGACATACCAACAGGACACGAGACGCGGCGTAAATTGCAGGTTTAGGGGTTCAGGCAACAGAAAAGATAGTATGGGTCAATATTAAAATGTGTGAGATAGTGAGGCAAATTATCGACGAACGGATCATGTGACCCACAGAATTAACGAAGCTGAAAACGTCTGGAAATGACACACTATTCAGAAGGTCGTTGACATTTCACTGACACAACAGAGTTGTTTTCGTGCTTCGTGCGGCTAATCAGGTAGACGCAGTCCTTGTCTTTCCCCAAAAATAATCAAAACTTGAACCCAGACTGGGAGCAACATACCAGTCACTGTCATGAAGGAGGCAATTACCTGGATTTGATTGGATAAGTTTGTCAAATCAAATAAGTGTGGGAAAATATAATCTGATATTTCTAAACGCAAAACGAATCTGCAAAGACTAAAGAGAAGAACGGGTAAAGGAAGACACGCAACGAGCCTTGGGATACCCTCTCACTGCAGCTATGCTGAAACGTTCATTAGAAAATGGAAACAGGTGAAATACCTGGCTGATGTGTCCTGGAAAAGGTGGATGAAGTAATACCTACCCACATTACAAGTCAGACATAAGTGGTTACTGAAGACTCGTAACTTGAAAGAAGGTGATGTAGTGATGGTGGTTAGTGTTTGGGTACAAACGGAAGAGTGACCGTTAGGCAACTTCACTTCATGTGAGGTTAGCTGAGATGGAATCGTGGGAACGGTTTCCGTCACAACAGCAACTGGAACTATACGCCGTGACATCAGACGCTTGTACCTGCTTCATGATGATGAGTAGAGTGTAGGCTTCTTGGGAAACTTGGTGTAAGGCATGGAAAAAATCTGAAGCCGAGAATTCCTGTGGAGGTCAGCGTTTCCTCCCACTTGGACCCGTCATAGCCAAGAGTCCTACTTGAACGAATTATCGTATTAGTTTGCCACGCATCGCTTGGAGAAATTTTGTGCCCATGTATCACACAAAACGCTTGAAAATTTATCCCACACATTCTCCGTGAACGCAATTGGATAAATTCAAATGTCCCGCCCAATCCTGCCTGCTATTCATTGATATTTTATTATTACCGCATCAACCCATCACTATCCCATCCATTAAAACATTGCGTTGCACAAACTATGAACAGGTTCCTGCTTCCTCAAATGAACCGCATTATCGTTTGTATAAATTCACAATTTTGGCACTATTCGAACTGGTATCTCACGCTTAATACTCCACTCCGTGTTCGTCGTTGGTCTAACCGTCGATCGATAACTATCAAGTTTTGTTGTACAATAATTGATTTATTGATGTTTTGCCATAGAGTACATCAGTTGAGTCCCGAGTTTCGTCCTCGGTGGAATTTACCTCATCACTCTGTCGTCAATCCGAAGAAGCCTGGAAGACTGAGGGCGGTGTTTGATTGTGCAGCGCAATCCAACAAGGAATCTGTAAATGACTACCTCTATCAAGGTCCATATTGGACAGCCAATCTGACAGCAATGCATTTGCTTTTCCGCAAGGAGCGCGTAGCACTTTCGGCTAACATAGAAGAGACGCTAATGCAAGTCCGCGTTCCGGAAAACGATAGAGGTGCCCTTCGGTTCCTGTGGTGGCCGGGTAGCGATATTTCATTGGAGCCGGTGGAGTTCCAAATGAACTCGCACGTGTTTGGAGCGAACTATTCGCCATTCTGCGCCAACTTTGCTCTGCATCAAATTGTGGAGCTATTTGAAAATGACTATGCTCTTATAGTCTCCGAGGCGATTCGTAATAATTTCTGCGTACACGAATGTTTGTTGTCCGACCCATCCATTGATGCCGCTAAAATGATATCCACTCAGCTGACAGAAATGTTCCTCAAGCCAGGGTTCCATCTCAGAAAATGGGTAACCAACGCACCCGAGGCCATAGAGAACTTGTTTAGTGCCAAGCGCGCTGAGTCACCGGTAACGTTGTCTGGTTGCATCCCGGTCATGCTACCAACCAATATGACATACCAACAGGACCGCACACGAGACGCGGCATATTGTCATCTTTGTGTTCCCTTTTTGACCCACCTAGTGTTGTGGCTACACTTTGTATACCACCTAAGCAATTTCTACAAAGGCTGTGTCGAACCGGCTCTGAATGGCACCCAGGCTGGATGTCAAGGACAAGCTAGCCTTGTCACCGAACATGTCATTACTGTTAGAGGTGAACACAGGGATACCCTCTCACTGCAGCTATGCTGAAACGTTCATTAGAAAATGGAAACAGGTGAAATACCTGGCTGATGTGTCCTGGAAAAGGTGGATGAAGTAATACCTACCCACATTACAAGTCAGACATAAGTGGTTACTGAAGACTCGTAACTTGAAAGAAGGTGATGTAGTGATGGTGGTTAGTGTTTGGGTACAAACGGAAGAGTGACCGTTAGGCAACTTCACTTCATGTGAGGTTAGCTGAGATGGAATCGTGGGAACGGTTTCCGTCACAACAGCAACTGGAACTATACGCCGTGACATCAGACGCTTGTACCTGCTTCATGATGATGAGTAGAGTGTAGGCTTCTTGGGAAACTTGGTGTAAGGCATGGAAAAAATCTGAAGCCGAGAATTCCTGTGGAGGTCAGCGTTTCCTCCCACTTGGACCCGTCATAGCCAAGAGTCCTACTTGAACGAATTATCGTATTAGTTTGCCACGCATCGCTTGGAGAAATTTTGTGCCCATGTATCACACAAAACGCTTGAAAATTTATCCCACACATTCTCCGTGAACGCAATTGGATAAATTCAAATGTCCCGCCCAATCCTGCCTGCTATTCATTGATAATTATTAATTACCGCATCAACCCATCACTATCCCATCCATTAAAACATTGCGTTGCACAAACTATGAACAGGTTCCCGCTTCCCTAAACCGCATTATATTGCGTTGCACAAACTATGAACAGGTTCCCGCTTCCCTAAATGAACCGCATTATCGTTTGTATAAATGCACAATTTTGGCACTATCCGAACTGGTATCTCAAGCTTAATACTCGACTCCGTGTCCGTCGTTGGTGTAACTGTCGATCGATAACTATCAAGGTTTGTTGTACAATAATTGATTTATTGATGTTTTGCCATAGAGTACATCAGTTGAGTCCCGAGTTTCGTCCTCGGTGGAATTTACCTCATCACTCTGTCGTCAATCCGAAGAAGCCTGGAAGACTGAGGGCGGTGTTTGATTGTGCAGCGCAATCCAACAAGGAATCTGTAAATGACTACCTCTATCAAGGTCCATATTGGACAGCCAATCTGACAGCAATGGTCTTGCTTTTCCGCAAGGAGCGCGTAGCACTTTCGGCTAACATAGAAGAGACGCTAATGCAAGTCCGCGTTCCGGAAAACGATAGAGGTGCCCTTCGGTTCCTGTGGTGGCCGGGTAGCGATATTTCATTGGAGCCGGTGGAGTTCCAAATGAACTCGCACGTGTTTGGAGCGAACTATTCGCCATTCTGCGCCAACTTTGCTCTGCATCAAATTGTGGAGCTATTTGAAAATGACTATGCTCTTATAGTCTCCGAGGCGATTCGTAATAATTTCTGCGTACACGAATGTTTGTTGTCCGACCCATCCATTGATGCCGCTAAAATGATTTACGCTACTTACTTACCACATTTGAAGGAAGAACATCTTTAAACATAGAGCCAGATTTGCAAGCCTGCACGTACAGCACCAATTTGTTGAAATCATTTTTCAATGCGTGTGGGCGAGGGTATCTTTCAACTTCATTGCACACAGCTGGCGCAGGACAAGAAGAAATGTTCTCGTGAGCTTGAAATGAGTCGCTCGATGATTCAGTCACCAGTAATGTGGATCCCTTGGTTGAAGAATGAGCTATATCCTGAGCGGGTGAATCAGGCTGTTGATTGGTGGCTGGTGGCCGAACGTTTACACGTTGCATCTGTCAAGCGCACCACTGATGATTTCCAATAAGGATGCAACAGTTGTACATTGCTTCTCGGCTTTTCATCACAGACTGGTTTCCAATACATAAATACAAAACTTCGTGCTGTTGCTCTAGATGCCAAAAGCGGTATGTTGTCTTGTCAGGAAGAATTTGGCTGGCGGATTCTTCGTATCATCCACACCTCATGAGTGACCGTATACGACCAGCTACTTTGTTTGTGGTATCTACGTTTGTTCAGCAGTGTGACTGGATCGACCGCGAAATCATGTGTCCAACGACCTTAAAATTGGTAAACAAAAATTCGTAAATCAACTTGACGAGACCTACCCACGTGTTTATGTCGGCTCCGTTCACTATTTAGCTTCCAATTTGAAAGCCGCGTGTTGAAACCGTTGTTACCAAAATTAACTAAAGTTACTTCTTCTTCTAGGAAGGCAATAAGGGAAGTCGCACCATGGCCAGAGAAGAAGGTGAACACGTTGTCATGAGGACCGCTACTAGTGGGCAGAAGGTTAAGGTGGTCTTGAAGAGTAGCTTTCTGGCTGGCGCTCCCACAGATGGGAAAGCACAACAAAAACCCGCGGCAATGGAAGCATAGCGAACGTGTCCGTCAGAATATTGTTTTGCACACGCTGCTTGATATGCTCAGTAGCTAAAGTAACTTCGATTTGTCTACTAATTGCATGGCCACGTGAATGGCCGCGTTAATTCCCATGGTTGTCAATGCATGAAATTGGTGGGAAGCAGGCTACCACTTTAGCTGGTCGTATCCTCCTGCCGTTGGATCGGTCACAATCAACTCTTTTGAAAAGACGCCCTTGTTAGCATGCTTACATGTGTTTGATGAAATATCTAGGGAGCATACACTTCTTGGGGTCCAAATGGTTGATTTCGAACTGTGCTGCGTTGTGGCTGGCATCCCCTGAATTCGACTGCTGCTTTATGCAGTTTCTCTCTGAAGACCTTTTGTTCATGATCTCATTGATCGGTTACCGATTTCTAATGTGTTGACTTCTGGCTTTGCACATTCGATTGGCTCTCACTCCGACTTCTGGTTTCGGTAGTACATTTTGATTGGTTGTTTCTGAATTGCTGTTGTGCTGTAGCCTGA